TTAATCATTTAGTTCTGATCCAATTTTGAATCTGTTTTCATTTTTATGTTGCTTAAACCTTCTGCTCATAGAATAAAAGGCATAACATTGAAGAAATTCTACCGTACGGCTTCAGTTCTTAAAGATACATTGCTATTCTTTAAAATTCTGAACCACAAATAGATTCATGACGTCACAATTTATGCAAATGAGCTAATTTGCAAATTTGAATATTGTAATTATATTGGAAATTTATTTAGATTTGATTTGATACCAATATCATATCTATAGACAAAATAATGACAAAGCTACAGATGATTTAAGATTCCAAGGTAAGATGTCTATAGATGCATAACCATGGTAACAGAATGCTACAATACAGAACAACCAATGAGAGTTTGCAAGGGCATTTGGCAAAATATTGAGCCTCAAAGTGTTACCTTTCAAAAAAGTATGGATGCAGAAAATTGAACCTCAACGTTTTATCTTTCAGAAAAGTATGGATGCCATAAATTAACAGAGACCGACAATTTGGGTAAATTTTTTGAAACGATAGAGAGGCAAGGGTTTCTGACTATTTACCTGTTTTCTGTATTAGATTCCAAAAATCTGAAGTCTCTTGCTTTTGCCTACCTGTGTTATACTCCGAAAATCTGGAGTCTATTGCTTTTGTCTGTTTTCTTTTCTTTATTAGGAGGGCCTCCTATAGGTTTTGTAGTTATTAGGAGGCCCTTCATAATATTATTATTTATTTATTATTCTTTTTAGTACTTTTTCTCCAACTTCCAGCTAGGTTATAGTTATCTCATATATGGTGCTATTAGGGACCTGGTCTGAACTTGTCAGGAAATTAATTCATATCTAGGTCAAGGTCAAAATCTAGGTCAAATTTAAGTTTTTTTTCAATTTCTCAGATTTTGTCCTCATACTTCATTGTTTCGTGCGATGAATTAAATTGTAACTAGATATAAGCATTCCCTACAAATTGCTCACTTGATGTTCACGTTAAAAAGTTGATTTTTCAAATTGATTTTTGGAATTCAATTTGGGTCAGCTTAATCCCAAAAGACCTGCTGAGGTCTAAAATATTTTTTGATCTAACATTTGAGATTTGACCTCTGCTTGACCTTCTCTGACCTTCAAAAGGTCAAAAAGTTGATTTTTCAAATTAATTTTTGGGAATGAAATTTAGGTCAGCTCAATTGAAAAGTTGAAAAGGTCTAAAAAAAGTAAAATTTTCAAGGTCAAGGTCATCGAATGAGTTCACAACCTGTGTTACCTAAGTTTCTCAAAGTTTGAGACTACAAATCAGTATTTTTAATTGAAAGTCAGTATATCTGGATATAGTATTTCCTCTAAAGGTTCTACAAATTAGCAATTGACTATCTATTAAAATTTTGTGCCCAGTTTGAGATATAAGAGCTCAAAAACTGAAAAAGGTCAAATTTCTAAATTCTTCAAGGTCAAAGGCGGAGGGGAAGTATGGCAACAGATTTTGGACATCAAATGTTGGATTTTGGCTTTTTTTCTGAGGATTTAAACAGGTGCATATGTTATATCTCCAGGAAAAGCACTTATAGTGATAAAAAAAATAATTTCGTCTTCAAGACAGGGAAGATGCAAAAAAAACACCCACATGTTTTTTCTGAAATGTTTTCCTGATTTTCAACCCCTTCCACCCCTGCTTTTTCAATTTCTTTGCATCAGTATGTTGTGTTTTGACACACAGTTATCCCTTCAAAAGAATAAGCAATTTTTTAAGGTCAAAGGTCAAGGTCATCAAATTAGGTCACAGACTGATCTATCAAGGTATGAGCTCAAAATCAAAAAAATTACAACTTTTGAAACTTTTCAACACCAAATTTCAACTTTCTTCATATTGACCTAATTATTTTGAAAAAAATCGTGTACAAGTTCTCATGAGTTCAAATTTGACCTTAGATTTGAGATATTTGACCTCTGCTTGACCTCCTCTGACCTTCAAAAGGTCAAAAACTTTTTTTCAAATTAATTTTTTGGATTCAAATTCAGGTCAGCTCAATTGCAAAAGGCGTAAAAAAATGTCAAGGTCATCGAATTAGTTCATAATCTGTGTTACCTAAGTAACTTAAAGTTTGAGACTATAAATCAGTATTTTTAACTGAAATACAGGATATAGATTCCTCACAAAGTTCTACACATATTACCAATTGACTATCTATTAAAGTTTTGTGTCCGGTGTGAAATACAAGAGCTCAAAAACTGAAAAAGGCCAAATTTCTAAATTCTTCAAGGTCAAATTTTTTCTTCCTTCAAATTGAAGAAATGTTTTTTTAATGCCTAGAGTTCATATATGACCTTATATTTGAGATTTAACCTTTGGCCGACCTTCTAATTGTCAAAAATGCCTACAGGTCCTAGTTATTTATTATTCTTTTTTCTCCAAATTCCAGCTAGGTTTCAGTTATGTCATTATATGGTCCTATTAGGGACATAGTCTGAACTTGTCAGGAAATTAGTTCATATCTAGGCCAAGGTCAAAATCTAGATCAAATCTAAGTTTTTTCAAGTTTTTCAAATTTTGTCCTTATACTTCATTCTTTCCCGGAATGAATTAAATTTTAACTAGATTTAAGGATTCTCTACAAATTGTTCACATATGTCAGCATTAAGTTATTACAATTTTGAGAATTGTGACGTAAAAAAATGGTAAAAATGGTTTATTTTTCAACTTGTTTCAATTCGGCCCAATTTTGTATAAAAAAGTTTGGTCAATTTAAAGCAAGGTGAAATTTCGAAATTTGACCTTTTTCAGTTTTTGAGCTCTAATATCTCAAAACTGGTGCAACATTTTAAAAGATAGTCAGTTGCTAATATGTGTAGAACCTTTAGGGAAATAAATATCCTTATTTTCATCCAAAAAATTTAATTTTTAGTTACCAATATTGAAAAACTTAGAAAGCTCAGTTTTTGGTGATTTAGTTCGATGACCTTGACCTTTGAGCTTGTTAATCTTACTTTTTTTTACCTCAGTAGGTCTTTTGGGATTAAAGATACCTAAATTTGAATCCAGAAAATCAAAATCAGATTTGATTTCCTGAGAACTTGTAGATGAATTTTAAAAAAAAGGCTTGTCAATTTAGAGCAAGTTGAAATTTGGTTTTGGAAAATTTTGAAAATCTCTAAATTTGACCTTTTGTCCATTTTTGAGTTCTAATATCTCAAAACTTTAATTAAAAATTTTAATAGATAGTCAATAGCTAATATGTGTAGAACCTTTAGAGGAATATACATCCTGACTTTCATCTAAAAATATTGATTTGTAGTCATAACTTTGAGAAACTTAGAAAACATACATACCATATTCTCTGTAATTAGCGCCCAGGGCGTTTAGAAAATTGAAAATACATTATTTAGACCATTCTAATAAGCGCCCATGTATGAAAGAAATCAGAAATCCCGAGGAATTTCATGTATGGCAATTTTTCTTGACAAGAATGCATTTTCTTCAACATATTTTTATAATAATATGACAAGTGCTGTTATTGGAGAGAATACGGTAAAGATCGCTTAGACAATATTGACAGTGGTTGAAGACCCGTCTATGTCTAATTTATTTCCGGCACGCCCACTTTGTCATTATCGCTGATTACCTTCAATATTTCCACTAGAGACTGCTGGATATCGATCTAAAGTTATACATTATTTCTAATTTGATGAGAGATCATCATTATTCGTGCAAAAGTTGTGTAAAAGTCGAGAAACATTAAAAAGAAACCAGAAAGTTCACGACCTTGACATGCGCAGAACATCTGCGCAGTAGCTTTTGAAATTTCTGAATGCCGATAAAGAACAATTCCTTCATTCATTATGGACTATTTGGAGACAATATTAGCATGGTATGGTGTTGGAATCACCCATCGATAGATATGTATCGAGAGGATGCATAGAATTACAAAACGCGTCGTGTTTACAGCAGTTTTAGGGTAAGTACTCTATTATCGCCCGCTCCTGGATTTTAAGAAATATTTTTTTCCTGATATATTCTTCAATTCTTGTTGATTCCTCGATGTTTCTTGAACTTTGTGAAGCGGGGTGGGCGCTTATTAGAGAGTGGGCGCTAATTACAGAGAATACGGTAGTTTGTGATTTAGTTTGATCACCCTCACCCTTGACCTTGCAAATTTTACTTTTTTAGACCTCAGTGGGTCTTTCGTGATAAAGTATACCTAAATTGAAATCCAGAAAATCTTTTTTTCAAAAATCAACTTTTTCAACCTTTCAAAGGTCACTGAAGGTCAACCAAAGGTCAATACTAAAGTCAGATTTAAATTCCTGAGAACTTTTGGATGATTTTTAAATTTGGTCAATTTGAAGCAAGTTGAATACTTAGTTGAACTTTTTTGACCTTCAATATCTCAAAATCTAGGCAAAATTTGTTTAGACGGCAAAAGGCTCACACTAATAGAATACTAATATCTATCCGTATGTAAAAATCCTGGCAACAATATTGGAGTGTCAGGATTTGAGAAATTTGAAAAAACCTTGATTTGACCTTGATTTTGACCTTGACCTAGAAAAAATTACTTATTAAGTTCAGCACAGGTCCCTAGGAGGAGTATATAGTAAAAAGTTGAAAGGTAGTTGGAAGTAGGAGAAAATGGGTAAGGAAGAATAAATGATAAATAATAATAATAATATCTACAAAGTTGATAGGAGGCTAGGTGGGGCCTCCTAATAATAAATAAAGAATATCTATAATATTATATTAATAGGAGCCCCCCTAATAATATGGCTTCCTGTCAACTGATGGATTTAGATTTTGTCAGGAGACAATACTACTGCCTGTTTATTTTATGAATAACATGATTTGTTTATGTCATGTAATATTCAGAATGATGAGTTGTTTAATAGAAAAATATGTTTTGTTTTGTGGGATTTAGGGAGTAACTTTTAGCATCCAGTTGCATCCATGAGACTTGTCATAAGAACTACTATTCTTCTCTTTGTGTAAGGAATAAAAAATGTTGCTTCATATGTAGGTACTATGGATCCTAGTGAGACTACATGGAAACTGAACCCTGCGGCAGCCCCATTTACCAGTACAAGTGTGTATCAACCAATCGAAATGCCTCCTTCACACAACACCAAGAAGGCATCTGCTGCAACTGACCAGAAACTGGACTCAGGATTTGGGACATCTGTAAGCAGTGGGAAATTTGATTACCCAGGATTCAATGTACCAAGATCACAGCAAAGTTTGATGCAAGAGTTGCGTGAAGAGAGACAGCGTAGATTTGAGGAATACAAACAGAAAATGGCACAAGGTTTGAATTTTTGAATAAATGAAGGTTTAAATGTATATTTTGATCTGGCCTCTTAATGATACTTTTGTAGGGTAAACGCTGTCTAATCTGTAACATTCCTTACCCCAAAATCAAAATTCCCACACTTTTCAAATAATTTCAAAATTCCCTGATTATCCCATTTTGTAATCAGTTCTTGAGGCAATTGTAATCAGTTCTCTGAAATATTTAAAGATGTCATTTTAATGTTGTGTAACAATATCTTTCTGATGTTATAATTCAGATGTGGGAAGATGGCCAGGGTTTGATCTCTCTCCAGCTACACAGAGTATGGAGTCACTGTGGGACACAACAACTGCCCCCTCAGACACATGGTCCACAATCACTCACTCTCCGCCACGGTCTTCTGCCCCAACAGCCCTCTGGAACAGCTCCACTGCACCAGCAACCTCCTCACCCCTCGGGACCACCCCAACGTCTGCCTCAAACTGGACTGTGATGTCATCCATATGGGGCAGAGGTGGAGCTCCTAGTCCATCATCCCGTGATAGTTCTGTTTTGGAGGTCCCCGACGAAAATTCTACCTTCAGTGACACTAGTGGCAAGCAGGTATGAAAGTTTCGCAGTACTTCAGGTAGATCTTTGCTCCCTCAACTGATGCACTGATATCGATTTATCCCAATTTATATAAGCTTTATCATCCCACCGAACAAAGTTCAAGGGAGATGTAGAGAAGCCGTCCGTTCCATTTGTTTGTCTGTGCGTCCGGGCAATAACTCGCATACAGGTTGACGAATTTCATTCAAGTTTTATAGGTTTATGCCTTATGGGAGTATGACCTCTGCTTGATAAAAAAAATTTCCAATATTGCCACTCGTGATGGCCACCATTTTTTGTAAAAATTATAATCTTTGATTACTCAAACACCAATGAAAGGATCTGATTCAGAGTATATATGCTGATGCCTAGGGACACAGTGGCTATGTTTGAGAAAGTGGTTTCAAGATGGCGGCTGAATTTCAAAATGGCCACCATTTTTCGTAAAAGAATGTAAACTTTAATAACTCAAATACCAGTGAACAGATTTGGTTCAAATTTAAAGTGCTGATTGGGTAATTTCCATTTATTTTTCCTTACACAAATAGATTCAATGGGTATTGGTGGGTAGAAACAGTATACCAACAGACTCACATCTTCATCTGATGGTCTTTCAGTGCCAAAATAAGATTTCCCGGAAAAAACATGATGTCACGATCAGAACTGGATATGGATTTTAATCAGCAATGCGGTATGCAACTCAAATGTAAATTCAAAAGTGTTCATGTTATTCTGTCTTCTGATTGGTCAGAAAGGAGTAACGCTTTTCAAAATCACCTCATGGTTTAATGCCTTTTGGTTGTAAGATCTTAAACAGCATCGAGTTATGTAACAGGATCAACTAAACGTGAAAACACGTATAGTTCTTATACTGTATTCTGACTGGCCAGAACGTAATTCTGCATGACTAGCTTTGTGAAAACGCACCACAGGGTCGGGAGCTCTAATTGAGGTATTATATTTTTTGCTCATCGGAGAAAAAATCGTGGCTCCAAAGTAGTCAAAGTTGAATCATTTCCGCACTGCATTGAATGCAGTGGCAATCAATTACACTGACACTTTATAAGCACGTTCGGAGATCATAAACTCCAGCAACATGTTCAAAACCTGTTCTGATCGTGATGTCATGATTGGCACTTGACATTGGGTTCCCGATTTTGAACATCAAATTTCACATTTATAGAAAGATTTACAAGAACTGTACATGGTTTGACTTGTAAGTGGTGTTTACTTCATTTAAAACATGTATAAACTGAATTTTGACCCCATGAGCATCGCACAGACACTTTAATATGTTGATGCCTATGGACACAGTAGCTCTGTCCACTCCCATCCATGCTACATGTATAATATGAACTAGAGAAACACATGCAAATAAGTTAAATATAAAAAAGATGTTGCTTACCTTAGAATTCATTTATTACATAATAAATATACAATTGTGTCATATTGTGAAATTATTTGATTTGCAATCAATTCAGGTCATAGTGATTTTTTGATATTTTTGTGAATTCAAATTGAGATCAATGGCCTCTGTTGGGATATGATGATATCTAATCCACATGTTAAGTCAATGGAGCACATCCTCATGTCAAGTCAATACTCCCTTGCTGAACTTAATGACCTCAAACTTAGCCCATGTTAGTCCAAACGCTTAAATATTTTCCAAAGTATTTTCTGACATTGCATTCTTTACATTTCACCAAAATGCTTACTTCATCAACTTGAAATTTTTACACATGCACAGGGGGGGAGATCTCCCAAAGTTCAAATACCAATGAACGAATTTGATTCAAATTTTATATGTTGATGCCAAGGGATAAAGGAGCTTCGCTCAAGAAGAGATTTTCAAGATGCCTGCTGATTATCAAAATGGCCACCATTTTTCGTAAAAAAACATTATCTTTGAGAACTCAAATACAAGTGGATGGATCTGGCTCGAATTTTATATACTGAGCCTATGGATAAAGAAAGGAACTCTGTTCGAGAGCTTGATGCTTAGAGATAATAGCTAGAGGGTTGCTCAAGAAGATATTTTCAAGGTTCAAATGTTTTTGGTGGTTTTAACTCAGGTTGTTTTTTTATGCCCTGTCATGTTTTTATCCCACCGAATGAAGTTTGAGGGAGACACAGAAAAGCCATCCATTCGTCTGTCCATCCGACTGTACAGGCAATAACTCAAACACCAGTTGACAGACATAATATTTGATAACTCAGTGGATGGATTTGGTTCAAAGGATGAGTCTGGGAATGAGTCTGGGTATTTACTTAGAAAATATTGAAAATTGTAATGTCTGAAAAACCCAACTCAATCACACATATTACAAAAATATCAATTTGTACACATCACAATTGATGAAGAATATTGGCATCAAAGACAATGCATATCACTTTGCCAGAATTGAAAAAAAATCAATGCCAAATATTCAATGAATAATTTATACAAAAAATTTGAAACACCCTCCGAAACATTGCTTGCTTTCTTTTTATGAATGGTATTTTTTTGGATAAGGGAATTGGTGTTTATCTGGGTAATCAAGGGATTATAGTCACTCAAAGTTACTGAGCATCCAGTTTTGACACTTCAATTGTGTTTTGAAGTTACACATATTTCAGTCAAATTCATGCTGAGCACAACATTTTGGTTTCAATTTTATTATGTCCCCACCACATAGTGTGGGGCCATATTGTCGGCCTATGCGCGTCTGTCTGTCTGTCCGTATGTCCGTCTGTCCGTCCATCCGTACGTCCGGCAGTTTTCTCCAAAACCGCCACAGATATCACCTTCAAATTTTCAGGGATAACTTAATTTAAGTGGATACCTACTTCCTGTCGGCCATTTTGAAGTCAAATGCTAAAATCCTTGTCTGCAAACTTTAAGAAAAATGGCTTCACAGTTGCTTTTGAAACTTTAAAATCTTGTTCAGCTCACTTCATTCTACATCTGATTAGGTTTTGGACCTGTTAGCTCAGTCATGTCAGCCATTTTGAATGTTTTAAGAAAAGTTAGCACGCGATAATACTTTGTATCATATTGAATGGTGTTTTTCAATTTTCATACTTTAACTATTTAGTAGCTTTATAAATAATTTCAGGTGTACTTTGTTGTAGGAGCCTATGATATTGTAAACAGTAGTAATATGTGATAATTTTGTAAAAGGAAATCAGCAAAAACTTATAATCACTTTTTTATTGTCAGCCATTTTGGATTTTTCCGTCCTAAAATCTTGTCTGTAAAGTCTTGTCTACGCGTTTTCAGGTGAACCATTTGGTAGATCAATTTCAAATTTTCAGGGATGATTCTTAGTATGAAAATCTAGATCTGATTAGTTTTTGGGCATTCTGGATAAATGTCAAGGCAGCTATTTTGGATTTTCCGTCCTAAAATCTTGCCTGTAAAGTCTTGTCTACGCATTTACAGGTGAACTGTTTGGTAGATCAATTTCAAATTTTCAGGGATGATTCTTAGTATGGAAATCTAGATCTGATTAGTTTTTGGCATTCTGGATAAATGTCAAGGCAGCCATTTTGGATTTTCCATCTTAAAATCTTGCCCGTAAAGTCTTGTCTACGCATTTTAGGTGAACAGTGTGGTAGATCAATTTCAAATTTTCAGGGATGATTCTTAGTATGAAAATCTAGATCTGATTTTTGGCATTCTGGATAAATGTCAAGGCAGCCATTTTGGATTTTCTGTCTTAAAATCTTGCCTGTAAAGTCTTGTCTACGCATTTTTAGGTGAACCGTTTGGTAGATCAATTTCAAATTTTCAGAGATGATTCTTAGTATGAAAATCTAGATCTGATTAGTTTTTGGGCATTCTGGGTAAATGTCAAGGCAGCCATTTTGGATTTTCTGTCCTAAAATCTTGTCTGTTAAGTTTTGTCTACGCATTTCCAGGTGAACTGTTTGGTAGATCAATTTCAAATTTTCAGGGATGATTCTTAGTATGAAAATCTATAAGATATCAGTTTTTTGGCATTCTGGATAAATGTCAAGGCAGCAATTTTGGATTTTCCGTCCTAAAATCTTGTTTGTAAAGTCTTGTTTACATGTTTTCTGGTTAACTGTGTGAGGGATCAATGTCAAATTTTCAGGGGTGGCTCTTAGTATGAAAATCTAGAACTGACTAATTTTTGGGCATTCTGGGTAAATTGTAAGGTGGCCATTTTGGATATTCCCTCCTCAAATTGTGTCGGTAAAGTCTTGTCTACTCATCTTTAGGATAACCATTTGACGGGATCACCCAAAGGTGGGGACATTTTGTACACATTTGTGTTCTTGTAATCTCTATACATGACTGGTGATGAAGAGTCAGAATCAATGCAAAAACCTAAACCAGCAGAAAACTGATCATTGTGAAAATTAAAAGTGAAGCAACTTTCTGATATTTTTCTTACATCAAATGGCAGCCATCTTGATTTTCCCCATTCAAATTAAACTGCCGGGAAATTCAAAAATTTGAAAAAAATGTTAATGCTTAAATATATTTCAAAAATATGATTTTCTTTTTAATTATTCATGGGTCTTAAGTTATTTCATATTTGTATGTCATACATGTTGCTTTTGGTGTTTTTTTTTAATGATAATGACTTTTGTTATGTCACCACCAAAAATTGATGACATATTGTTATCATCTCCGTTTTTTGGGCAGTTGGCGGTTGGCGATCAGCGTCTGTAACAAATTCTTACAACTTCCAATAACTTAACAAAATACTGTTTAGACTGACTTGAATTTTTTTCAAAATCATCTATATATGTTTTCAGAAGTTCAAATCTGTCTTTACACCTTCTTAACCTTTACCATGCTGCCTTATTTCAGCAAATATATCCCACGCATCTGACTTATTTTTCAAAAATGATATGCCTGGACTAAATAATTAATATCTCAATAACTACTGAATGAATCTGGATAAAATTTTCACAGAGGGAAGATACAGTGGCCTGGCTCATGAAAAAAATGTTCTCATGAATTTTTTCGTACATTAACACGACTGGGCATAAATATACCA